GACGAGAACTATCTTCAGAATAATTGAATAAATAATACTCATTAAAAAAATCACCCAAGAAACCTAAATACTTATCAACAATTAATAGTGATGATTTATTTTTTATAAAAAATAAATTAACAACGAAATTACATAATAAAGCAAAACGTTTAATGTTTTCGTCCTCGAAATTTCTCAGACAAATTCACTAAATTTTTATTAATTTCTTCTCAATAATTTTGTCGAAGATTGATTCTTCAATAATCAAAATGAAAAGATCATACTCTAATTCACAAAATATTATTTTAAGAAGATATGTAAATGTAAACGTTACGTAGTGCGCAAAGGAATTCTGATATCAGGCCACATTAATTATAATATGTTTTTTTTTTCATATTTGTTTTATTTTCAAAAATTGGCAGAACACTTGATGTAATAACGAAATCATCCGACTTAAACTTCCAATCCGGGTCATTCAAATTATTTAATTTTATTAATTGATAATGATAACTAATCGTAATAGTATTACAAAAACACTTCTGGTAAAATATTCTGTTCGAAACAAAATCTACTGACTTTTTATAATGATTTAAATATTTATATTTTTTTTAAAGCATTTAAAGATATGATAAGTTCATGAAAAATTGAAATTCGTCGAGTGAATTGAAACATATAAGTTTATTTCTTAAAGTTTATCGAAAATGAATATGATTGTTAGAAAAAAATGTAATAGTTTTTTATAGACTTTCGACCATAAAAAAAAAATTCATTTTGTTATAAATTTCTCTCACCGGAATAAAATAATTGTTTTATTATTTATTGTGTTTATCATCAGAAACTTAAATAATTTGCAGACAAACATTGATCAACTGAAATAATAATTGATTATAATTATAATCATTGTTTAAATAAATTATTTTTAGTTAACTTATTCCGGAAAGCCACTTTGATGGATTAACTGCTTAATACCCGGTACTGACTTGTATTGATAATTATTTAAAAAAAAAAAAAAAAAAAAAAAAAAAAACATTTTTGAAATATTTTATCAGGACATTAATTATTAACAATGGATAATTTTATTTGAATATTTAAAAAATAATATTTTTTCAACATATTCAAAATATTTTTTTATGATATTTATTAAGAACGTTTTTTTTTTTTGTAATATTTATATTTAATATTGTGATAAGAAATTTTTCCAATATTTTTTAATATTTAGAAAAAATACTGCATAATAATATTTCAAAATATTCTGTATCGAGAAAGTTGTTATTATTTGTTGTATGTTGTTTACTTTATTATGTACAATTTTTGTAGAGAAGAAAATTTTGTCGATTAAAATAAAAGAGAACTTTGTGAGCATTACATTGAAGCAAGTTAATGCTTGATATACATTAAGAGAAAAAATTTCTTCCGAAAAAAATGGGTATTGTTGTGACAAAAAATTAATTAGTTGAAAATTTTATTTTTCAGCTGAAGAAATAAAAATTTTTCTCACAGGAATTTTCTTTTTGAAAAAAAGTTGTTTTGATTTGAAAAAAAAAAAAAAAAAAAAAAAAACAATTTTAGATCTACAACTTGCGAATTTTCATCCAAAATTGTTTTTTCCAAAATCTAAAAAATTTTTTTTCAACAAGAAAATTACTGTGACAAAAATTTTTATTTCTTCAGCTAAGAAGTAAAACTGTTTAAAAATTTTAACAAAAAAATTTTTTTTTCTGAGTGTATGTAATAAATTGCTTGAAATAATTGTATGTTCAATACTAAAACTTTTATTTATATACATCAAGTACATTTATTAAATAATATTATATAACACGCATTGAAGAAAATAATTTATAATTGCAAGTAAATATGTTATTGATAGAATGCGTCAACAAAATGTTATTATTGAATCAAACAAACCTTATTTTGATTAAATATAATCAAGTTTATGTTAATCTATGAAGATATGATCGTTTACGCACAATAATCAGTTGTGAATAATTTTATTACGTATATAATAAGTGTTTTTTCGGGACTCGACGGATGTGGGCATGTCGTCTATTCTGACCAATACGGTTCTTTAAAATGTTTTTACAAATTTTATTTACATATTGAAACAGATGGAAGAATAAGTAAATATCAGGGGCTCGTCGAGTTGTTTTATCGCTGCTTGCGAAATTCGCAGATAAAAATAATGTGTATTACTCAACAGTTCATATTTTGAATCGTGCATTTTAAGAACTTTTGCTCAATAAAGTTTTTGAAAGAAATTCAATTTTTAATGATATTATTTATGTGTATATTTTGGATAATAACTTTAAGAAAAAATCAAATTAAACAAGATACACTGAATTTTTTTTTTAATATTCTTTATTCATTGAATATATTGAATATTTTAGTAATTTAATTAAGGATTGATAAGAAACAAGTGTTTCTGTTAAAATTATGTTTAATGGACAAAAATTAGATCATTGAACTGGTCTTTATTTATATTTCAATTATTTTGATTAAAATTTTAATTTGGGTATTTATTAATCAAATTTACTTCATTACTTTATTTTCGAGTTTATTGATTATACTGAGAAAAAAAAATTAGTATTGAGGAAAAAGAGCACTCTGATTATAAGGATTTAAATTCTTCGAAATTTTCAACATTTTTATTCATTAGCTGGAAAAATTACATTTTTTTTATACAGAAAGAAAACAATTTAAAAGACAGTCAACAAGTATTTCATTAAAAGACTTAAAATTGTTTAGAGGAAATTGTAATTCAGTTTTTTAAAATAAAAAAAAAATTTATGGGATTAAAGTTGACAGACATTAAAAATTTCTTATAATATTATAGAAGTTAAATTATAATGAAAAAAATTTAATAAAAAAATTCCAATTATGAAAAATAAAAAAATATTATTAGTGAAAATTTTTGGAAGCATTTTTATTACTGTAATTGATTTGTTATAAGAATTTAAAAAATTGACAGTCGTCAGCTAACTTCAGTATCATTAAATTTTTACTTCTTCTAAAAATTTTGAATCTAATCACTCTTTTGTTTTATGAAAAAGTTAAATTTTTTAACTGCATAACTTCTTATTATTATGAAAATTAATTTAGCAGACATTTGATCATTTCAAAAATTTTTTCAACCAGTAAATTATGATAGAAAATAATTAGAAAAAAAAATTTACATATGTATACATCCGTGTAAAAAAAATCGTCTTAAAATTGTCGTTTGTTAATTAAAGATCTTAAACGTGAGACAAACAAAGACTATTTTAAGACGCCGAAAAAAAAAAAATTCCGAGAGCAGGTTTTGGAAAATTTGGTTCTCGAATTTGTTGTAAAAATTAATTTTTAGACATTTTTTAGACGATTTTACGACTTTCTAACCGCAACATTTTTGAGTAAGATGTTTTTAAATTAAATTTAAAATTATTATCCGACAATTTGAAGACTTTTTTAAGACATTCCGTTTTAATGTTCCGGGGCTCTGTCGCTCTTAGCTCATATTAAAATAGACTCTAAATTAAAAAAAAATTTTTTTTAAGACTAATTTAAGACAATTTAAAGACGCTCCATAATAATTTTCCAGAGCTGTCACTGTGGTATCATCTTAAAATAGCCTGAAAATTTTTTAATGATTTTTTTAAGACTATTTTAAGATTTTGAGATATTTTTAAGACTATTTAAAAATTATTTTATAGAGCATCGTTAAATAGTCTTAAGATGATCTTAAAAAAGTCTTGAAAAAATTTTTAGAGACTATTTTACGATGAGCTAACAGTGACAGAGCCCCGTAACATTAAAACGGAACGTCTTAAAAAAGTTTTCAAATTGTCGGATAATAATTTTTCAACAATTTTAAATTCAATTCAAAAGTCGTAAAATCGTCTAAAAAAAGTCTAAAAATTAATTTTCATAACAAATTCGAAAACCAAATTTGAAAAATCTGCTTTCGGAATTTTTTTTCTGGCATTTTAAAAGAGTCTTGGTTTGTGTCACGTTTAAGATCTTAAACAAACGACAATTTTAAGACGATTTTTTTTACACAGGTAGAAATTTGAAAAAAAATAAAAAATACAATTTTTTCGAACAAATTTATTTGTTAAAAAAAAATAGTCAAGCAACTTCAATGTCATCTTATTATTTTGTATAAATAAAATCAATAAATTATTAATTTTACCTCAACAGAATGGTTTGAATAAATTCCGCGTTCGACGAATTATTTAATGTCCATAAGATGGCGGTAATTTCATCATCTAACTCTAGTTACCTCCACAGAAGCCGTAACATTTCAGGTAAATATGAATTTAAGATTATTCTTTCATATGATTTTATTATTTTTCATTTGATTTTATTATTTCAGTGCATTTGTTGATTCATTTAAATATAACTAAATATTAACCACACTGGGAACCAAAACAAAAAGTAAAAACTGAAAAACCTTACAAATTTCTTTCTGAAAAAAAGAGTTGGAGATTAGTAACCCATGTCTGGCCAGTAACCAATAATAATTAAGTTCAAGAAATTTTAACTTTATCGTCCACACAGAACACCGGCTATGCCATCTAGCGAATTGTGAAGTTTATAAAGGAAAGCAATCTCGAGTCAGCATCATACCCTTGGATATCGATATTTAAATAATCGAATGACAATTATCAATTATTTCACGTTGCTCATGCCTATCAATTGATCATTCTTATAGAATAAAAAACTACAGTGTAAAGTACAATTTTTTGACCTTAATTTTCCATTGACTTGTCATTATTCATTTGTGAACATTGTTTTTAGTTTTTTTAACCAACCGTGTAAACATTTAACTATTTGCTGGTATATCAAAAGTTTTATTTAAAACCAATTAATCATAAGAAATAATTAAAATATGATTGCTTATGTTGATGTGAAACTAAATTTATTCAGTACATCTTAATGTATTTTTTTAATTATTGTTATTAGGTTATTTTATTACTGATTACTAATGTTATTTCTGTCATCGTCTAAATAACAAGATATTCGAGTTAAAAAAAAAGGTGTCAACAATGGGTATTGGATTAAAGCCTCTGGAATTCACAGATTGTCTGACAGACAGTCCATTTTTTCGAGAGAATTTACATTATCATGAACGTGAATTGGATAAAACCAGCCAACAAATAAAACGATTAATTAAAGAAGTTAAAGAATTGTTGGTTGCTGCTAAAAGTAAGTTCATATTAACAAATATAATTCTATAATTCTATTGTAATTTATAATACATCACTACTATTGATGTGTTTATTTTTTAGATTGCTAATTTTTAACGTTCTCGATTTTACGAGTGATTCTGCGTTTTTATTTATTCAGACTCGATTGATATTTCTACTTGATTACAGATTTCATCAGAAGTAATTTTTAATCGAATTAAAAAATTTTATCTGTTTTTCACTTGACTTGAATCACTTCTGCACTAAAAAAAAATAAAAAAAAATAAAAAAAATAAAAAAAAAAATACTTGAACCAAGAAAAATGTTTTCTTTCTTACTTTTTTGAATAAAGATAAAATCATTCATTAGTCCAGGAAAATTTAGTCAATTTTTCCAAAAAATCTATCTTAGTTCAAGAAACATTTTTGTGTTGCTACTACAATAAATTTGTCATTCAATTTGTTAAAATTTTCTAATGTCAATAATGACACATTTAATTTTTAATGATTTAACGTTTCATGCGTTCAAATAATTGATTTTCAAACATAGACATTAATTATTAAGAAATATAATTGATGAGAGAATTGCATTGACGCTTGGGATCGTATCTAGGTCCTTATAATTGCTAAGTTGAGATGCTAACTACTGCGCGAAGTCACGGGTATCTTAAAGTGTGTCATAAATAATTCTTGACACAAATAAATAAAATAAATTAATAGAAAAAAAATTAAAAAAATGAGAACTCGAAAAAAAATTGCTCCAATGAAAAATTAAAAATTTTATACATGTAAAATTAGTTAGTGACTTTTTAGTTAGCGAATCATTTTATAATTTTTTTTAACAAACAAATTTTTTTAAAAAAATTACAATATTAATTTTTTTAAATTTCGATTTTTTTTCTCATTTTTTTTGCCATAATTTATTTGTTAAAAAAAATTTTTAAATTATTAAATATCTGAAATTAATTTTCAATTTATACATTCAAAAAATTTGATTTTCTTTTTGTAAACAAAAATTTTTTTTGAACTAAAAACATTTATCTTCAGCCAAGAATTTTTTTTCTGTGAAATAATTTATATAAAAATTCAATCTATTAACTCAGTGAGAAGTTTTAGGGGCTAGTCTGCAGAGTAAACCGGTTGTCAGATTTTTTATTACTCTATTTATTTTGAACAAAAAATGATTCATAATCGGGTTTTGACTTTACTTCAAAAACGTATCATCAAATGGATAAAAAAAATTGTTAAGGTAGAATATAATTATTATTACGTGTGCATTTTTCTATCTATGAATAATTATTAAAATTGATCACGTGTTGTTTTTTTGTTCTTCACTATCACAAAAATAATAGAAGTGTTGGGTTTCCCAACATTTTTTTATTTGTTAAATTGGCTGCAAATCTAGTAGAAGCGTAATCTTTCATTCAGACTGTACATAATAAAAAATAATAGAAACTAAATAAGTGATTATAATTAAATGACTCATACAATCATATGTTTTAACAGACTAAGAATGGCCATAAGTAATATTTATGACCGAATAAAAGTTTCAGCGCCTGTATCTAACTCTATTAAGTCGCTTACACCAAGAATTGCTGATATCACTGCGTTAAATCATCAATTTTTGCATGAATATTTTGTCAGCGAATCAATAAATTTTAAAATAGAAACATTTTTTTCAATATTTAACACTATACTTATTGTTAAATAATTATCCTAAACTGAGAGAAGAAATTTCTTTTGAAAAAATGATCATTGATGTGACAAGAAATTAATTTGTTAAAAATTTCCTACAATTTTATTTCTTAGCTAAGGAAATCAACATTTTTCTCACAGCAATTTTCTTGTTGAAAAAAAAGATTTGATTGAAAAAAATAAAACTAATTTGAGATAGACAACTTGTGAATTTTCAACTAAAATTATTTTTTCCCAAATCTAAATACTTTTTTTCAACAAGAAAGTTACTGGAAGAAAATGTTTGATTTCTTCCGCTGAGAAATAAAATTGTTTAAAATTTTCAATAAATTAATTTCTTATTACAACATTGCTCATTTTTTTTAAAATAAATTTTTTCTCTCACTATAAATAAATTTATAAATATATTGAAATCAAATTTGATAAAATAAATTCCTATAAAATAATTTTTTTCATTTCCATAATGTTATTCCACCATAATTGATATATTCTAGTAAATTTTATAAAAGTTCACAAATTTAAATCACTTTATAAATTTTATGTAGTAACTTTTTCAGGTAAATAAAATTAACAAAATTGTATAAAGCTTATAAAATAAGTTAAGCCATATCAACTGGACAAAAATACTTTCAGTGATATTAAAACAATCAATAATTCACCTTTCTCTATATTAAAAAGAATCTTTTTTCAAAAATTTGTGTTTCAAATTTTTTTCTATAATATATTTAGACAGCAAATATATTGGTCAAGTAGTCAACTATTATAGTAATTTAGGAATAAACGAAAATTTTAGTGGTTTGAAACTTATCTCTTCTTCACATTATGTTAATCGCGCACTAGCTTGAATCAGCTTACCACAGCAGTTTTCTTTGTAACTACTTGAGTAGTTGATCAAATTAATTAAATACATGGTAAATAAAAAAAGTTTGGAAAATCCAAAAGTGCACGCCTCATAACGCTCATTCATTTTTTAAGAAAAAAATTAATTGTGTAATTGATTAAAAAAAAAAAATTATAATTAAGTAATTTCTTACAGAGTATTTTTTATTTTTTTTTTAAATATCGGCGCCCTTTCTTCTTGTCATGCGCGCACGCAGTCTAAAAAAATCTAGCTTGATCAAGTGGCGCCATAGTTTTCACGTGACAAATAAGGAAAGTTCATTTAGCTTTGTACGGTTGTATCGTAGTAAATTTTAATAAAAATTCAATTTAAAAAAAAAATACGTAAGCTAGGCCACTGATATGCGATACGGACCCAGTTCATCGAATTCTTAAACTAATAAAAAAGATCCGGTCTTGAAATATCAATTTGTTCGGGAGTAATCGTTGGTACATCCAAAATGGGGTGACATCCGGACGTCCACGTAAAATTTTTTTCAAAACATTTTTTTTTTTTCAAAATAGCAACATGAAATGATTTTAGAAAATAACAGATGGTTTAATTTAAGTGTTTTTTTCGGTGTACATCTACTTATATCATTGTATAAGTGTAATATGGTTGTGATAGAGGCATTTTAAGATCACAAAATTGCTTGATCTTAACGAGTTGAGTATAAAGCACAACTCACGCGCTTCGCGCTATGAGGCGTGCAATAAATTCTCTATATCTTTTACAGATTTATCGAGGGCCCAAAGAGCATTTTCGAAAACCTTACAAAACTTCAGTTTTGAGTGTATTGGAGAAACACAAACTGAAGATGAATTACATATATCACAAAGCTTAAAGGAATTTAGTAAATTAATTGCTTCAATTGAAGATGAAAGGGATCGTATGGTAAGCTCAATTCTACTTAAAAACTATTGTATTTAAGATTGAATCCAAAAAATCATGGATGACTATATTATTCTATAGAGATTTTTTCACATCTTAATTAATATTCTTACAAGTCGCAATCTGTTTATTTATGATTTAATATAACACTAACAACCTGCAGTCACTATGCGACTGCTGAGATTTACGGATTATGAATAAGAAAACTTTGGCTACATGATTTTTTGATATTCATAATCACACTATATATAGTTTAGGTACTTTTTAAGTAAATTTTAAAAATAATAGTGCAACCATAGGATCAATTACAAATTATTTAATATACAAATTAGACGGAACAAATATATAAAACCAACAAACTACTCAAAACCTAGCATAAAATATTGACTATCACTGAAAAATATATAAAACCGTGAAAAGACACAAGTTCTTTTCAAGACCTGTCTGATGATACCATATTTAACTATGAAAATTCCTTTAAAAATAATAATATGCTCGTCACAAAATTTTCCCTACTCTCTCAATTATTTAAATCATAAATGACTGTCGCTGAAAAAATATTAAAACCACTTTACGATGATGATTTATCCGTTAAAAAATTTTTATTAGTCTCTTAATCATGTGAATTAATTTAATTAATTTTTGACCTATAACCACATGGACATGTATAAAAAAAATAAATAAATAAATAAATAAACAAATGACATGTGTCGCGAAATTCGAATTCATTTAAGACTACTTCGAAAACTTATTCATAATAAATAAACTATTGCTGAAAAGCATATGAAAGATCAAAAAAGTACAAATTCAGGTTAAGACCTTTCTTATAATACTAAATCCTAATATAAAATTGAGATGAAATGTATGTGGCATCAAACGAGAAGAGGTCGATTACCTACAGACCAATGAGTTAGATTACCGGTGACTTAGATTCCGATTACCTAGATTTCCATAACCCAGAATCCGATTACCGAAATTATCAATGACGTAGAATTTCTATGGGGTAGATTACCGATTACCTAGAATCCCGATTACTTAGAATCCGATTGCCTAGAAATTTGATTGGATATAATTCCTATTACACTGAAATCCGATTGCCTATAATTCTGATAACTTACAATCCCTATCGCATAGATTTCTTATACCTTGACAAAAAAAAGTTAATCTGGATAGATGGCGCCATATAGAAGAAAACTTTAATTTCATTTTAAAATTTAAAATTATTTTTATTAAGCGACAATATAATCAGATATGTTCAATTTATATTAATAACGGGAAATATTAATTTAAATAATTTGTTTCTTTATTTTCCTTTTTAAACAATTATATTTTAATAAGATTGTCGAATAAGTAATCAATTAAAATAAAAATGAGCTTTAAACGACGATTTTAAGTGGAACTCTAATCATGGACTTAGCGCTATGCGACGACTGCTGCTGTCATACATGAATGTTTCAGAATGCGGCTTTTGAAAACACGAGGCTTCAATATTTTTTTTAATATCTGTAGCGATTCTCAAGCTTTCATCAAGCTATGCTCTGACTCGTTACGCGCATCTGGCTCCACGCCGCCACTCGGGAACCCTGAATCAACAGGACCGCAATTCCTTTGCTCCGAACGTCTGCTGCAACATCATCTATCCCTGCGACTCCAAAGACTTTCAGTCCCACCAGCAAACTTTGCTATTCTTGAAGCCGATTTTCCAGGGAACAGTCCTACGAAGCACAGCCAGTCGATTCAAGCGACCCCGACAATTACTTTGTGGCCCGAGCGGCCCCGGGCTAGTTCTGCTGATAAATCTTCGTAGAATCTTTTGGCCCCTAGATCCTACAGAAAATAAAAAAATTCCTGCAAGCATGAACCAGTCCCTATAAAAACTCTGAACGTCAAGATTTCCACAAGCTCCTAGTTCCAAGCGTTCAAAAGCTAGGTCGCTGTCCTAAGAAAGACCAGGCATGTAAATGTTTTTCTGCTCATAGGATGCGTCAGCAAAGCCTAATCATCAGGATAAGCACATTCGTAGCCTTCAACTTCTAGTAAGACTTAGTTGTATCAAATATGAAAAAAATGAGTTAAAAACTACAAATTAGCTATAAGATACAATTAGGATAAGATTAGGATTTATATATTATATCATATATAGGAGCTAATTCTACAGTTATTTTTTAAATAATAAATCAAATTTTGAATGAACGCTACGCGTACTTACAAACTGTTTATTATTTTATAATTTATAAATAATAATAATTATTATCATCGCGCTAATTGCTTGATTTAAATTCATACAAAGGCTTGAGCAAATCTGGTCTCAATTTCGATAGTTGTTAGTGTCTTTTTCTATCTATGGGTCTTGCTCCAGATACTTGTAGCAAATTCAATTGACAAGCCTTGTACAAGAACTTTGGGCCAGATTATAGCTCAAGTCTG